TCCAGGACATCTGTCTTTCATAGAGTGACTCAGTGATCAGGCTGCTTTGGTGTTTTGGTCCCACATGCCAACATGAAGATTTCTCCAAATGAGCTGCAGCAGGAGAAAAGACAGCTGGAGAGTCATGCGGCAGGCAGGCTTTGCTGGGAAGTGACCTGTGTCTTCTGCTCATGGCTCATCAGCAAGAGTCAGTCTCATATTGTCTTCCCCTTGCCGGGAAGGGCTGGGAGGAGCTCTGGATGAGCAGTTCCCAGGGGAAAAGAAAGTCATGGAGAAGAGGAGGAGCCAGCAAAGGATCCAGGGAAGGAATGTTTAGGTAGGTGGAAGGAGGACCAGGAAATAGTATGAACCTAGAGAGGAAAATGTTACAAGGAGAAAAGAGTGGCCAATATGGGGCAGTGGGTGGTGACTGAGGACTGGCCGTGGGATCTAGGTGAAAGTGATCTGTAACCTTGGGAAGAGCAATTGGTCAGCTCTGTGTGCAAAGAGTCTGGCTAAAGTGAGGTAAAGAGAGATGGTGAGTGGGGAGGAATGAGAGATGAGTATAAACCAGAAATGGGGTGGATACTGGCAGGGGGAAGTAGGTGTAAGCCAAGGGTGTTTTCTTTCTTTCTTCTTCTTCTTTTAAAGATTTTACTTATTTTAGAGAGAGTGAAAGCGATCACAGAGGGAGAGGGATCACAGAGGCAGAGGGAGAAGCTGACTCGCCGCTGAGCAGAGAGCCCGATGAGGGGCTCGATCCCAGGACCCCGAGATCACCACCCCAGCTGAAGGCAGACGCCCAACCCACTGAGCCTCCCAGGCGCCCCACCAAGAGTGTTTTCATTTGTTCTTCTGGGCTGGGAGAGATAAAGCCCTTTTTATATGCTGTTGAAGAAGATCTTATAGAGTGAGAATTGATGATGTAGGAGAGAGGGAAAGAGTTGTCGAGCTGAGCCTTGAAGAGGAGAGGAGGGACCCGCTGGGGATGTCCGGTAGCAGGTGGGAGGTAGAGAAGGTAGGCCAGATTCTGGGGGAGGGTGGAGGAAGCGGGAAACAGCCTTCTGCACATGGGGTAGTGGACAGAAGAGGGAAGCATGGGTGTGGGCTGGGCAGGAAGTGCTTCTGGATGCTCATGAGGCTCACGGTCAGGGACAGAAGTAAGGCCCATCAGGTCCTGGTGGCTTGTGATTTTCCCAGCCCTCTTCTGCGGGAGAGTTGGATTTAACCCAGTTGGGGTTTCATCAAGAGAGTTCAAGAAAGCAAGGGGGAGAGAATGTAAGGCATGTGCCGGAGATGATAATGGGGATAATGTTAGCTCTTTTTTTTTTTTTAATTAATTTTTGGGGAAGATTTTATTTATTTATTTGACAGAGAGAGACACAGCGAGAGAGGGAACACAAGCAGTGGGAGTGGGAGAGGGAGAAGTAGGCCTCCCACCGAGCAGAGAGAACCCAATGTGGGGCCTGATCCCAGGACCCGGGGATCATGACCTGAGCCGAAGACATACACCTAATGACTGAGCCACCCAGGCACCCCAGCTCTTGTTTTTGACCTTTTGGATCATGAATTATGTTACTAGCAACATCCAATTATTATTTTTTTACCACGTCTACTGAATTTTATAACCTGACTGTATGCTTGTGTCTATTATGCATGGATGGGTGTGTATAAAATATATAACTGTAATAAAAAGAAATACAAATAGACTATAAATATAAAACTATGGAAAAGTGTATAAGTAAATGAAAAAGTTAAAATTGTAATAAAAATTTAGAAAGTAATTATAACGAGAACTCTTTTTTTAGAGATTTTATTTGAGAGAGAGGGAGAGAGAGCGCTTGCGCGTGTGCCTGAGTTGGGGGAGGGGAAGACCGAGAAGAAGAAGCAGACAGCCCCACCCACCCACACAGAGTAAGGAGCCCACCGCCCAGAAATCACGACCTGAGTCAAAGGCAGAAATTTAATGGACTGAGCCACCCAGGCACCTCTGTAGTGAGAACTCTTATGGAGAGTCAAGAACATAGTACCAAGAAGCAATAAGAAAAAACAAAGATTTTGGGATGTATCTGTTCCACATTTCTATCTAATCTGTCTCTAATCTACATGTGTATCTAATCTGTGTCTGTATGTGTATCTACCCGACCAAACCCATCTACATTGGTACATCTATCTCGTTCAGGGTTCTCATCACAACTGCTTCTCTCAATGCTATCTTTTGGTTCTTCTCTGAAGTTGGCCCCTCCAGGAGTCTCTGTCCCCCTCCCTCAAGGCACAGGGGTCCTTCGCACCAGTGTGGTCCCAGGCTTTCTCAGGGCTCTTCCTGGGCCCAGCCAAGGGAGGACCCTGAGATCTTAGACCCAGAGAGAATAAAAAGCCAGCAAGTTTCTAAATGGCTTTTAGGAGCTCACAGCCAAGGGAACATTAGTTTGAAAATCAAGATCTTTCTGACTTGGGTTTGACTCTTGAGGGGCAGATCCTGAAGGACTCTGTGTAAATGTTTTGGAGGACATGGGGAGATGGAGAGGAGAAGGGAGTTGAGGGAAATTGGAAGGGGAGGTGAACCATGAGAGACTATGGACTCTGAAAAACAATCTGAGGGTTTTTTTTTTTTTTTTTTGGATTTTATTTTTATTTATTTGACAGACAGAGATCACAAGTAGGCAGAGAGGCAGGCAGAGAGAGAGAGGGGAAAGCAGGCTCACCGCTGAGCAGAGAGCCCGATGTGGGGCTCGATCCCAGAACCCTGGGATCATGACCTGAGCCGAAGGGAGAGGCTTCAACCCACTGAGCCACCCAGGTGCCCCCGATCTGAGGGTTTTGAAGGGGTGGGGGTGTGGGAGGTTGGGGGAACCAGGTGGTGGATATTAGAGGGCATGGAATGCATGGAGCACTGGGTGTGGTGCAAAAACAATGAATACTGTTACGCTGAAAAGAAATGAAAAAAAAAAAAATCTTAAAACAACAACAAACAAACATCATCCATGACTTGAAAACAGTGAAAAACCTTGGGTGACGGGGTCATACTACGTAAGATATTTTCATTTCAATTAGGGGAACTGAACTTGAGGGAGTTTCCTCAGAATACAAAACGCACCCTGCCAAGTTTCAAACTACCCTTCCGCCCCCCAAATTTTAGAACTTTTGTAACTATTTAATGAAACAGGAAAAAAGAAAAGTCCTTCCCAACATGGCCCCTGGTGAGGCTACTTCTCTGCAGGCATCAAGAGAAGGGAACTATTGTGTCTTTCCGTCTCGGGAAGACAGGGGAGGATTTTGGTACCTGAGCCTGTCACCTCTTTATAGCCAAAGAGTTAAGAAGGGAACAGAGGTAGTGGGTTTGGCAGACAGTGAGCTCTTTGTTAAGACTTCAAACCTGCCTCTCACGCTGAACTGGAAACAGCGGTCTGAGTGTGGGGGAAGGGACAGCCTGGGTCTGCCGAAATTTGAACGCACTGGGACTCCATCCCCCCAGCCTCACTCAGAGGGAGGGAGCTGAATGGAAGGGGTGGGCAGCAGGACCACAGAAGGAACTGCTGAAACAAAGCAGACGTGGGAAGTGCCTGAGAGCTCATCAAATAGTATCTGAAAGTTGTCATGGTGCAAAAGGCTTTCACCTTCTGTGGGCTAGGCTCAAGGGCTGAACTAGGGACAGGGACCGAGGCTTCAATTTCACCTTGAGAAGACCGCATGGCGCTCTGCAGCAATGGAGGTCAATGGGACTTAGAGGCTTCTAGAATCTCACAGACCTGTGTTCCCTTCCTGGCTCCACCACTCCCTTGCCAAGGGGCCTTGGGCAGGTTACTTAGCTGCTCAACCGTGCTCAACAGCTTTCCTGGAGGCTTTGTTGTGGGGAATTCAATGAGATCCTGAAATGTCCTTAGCACAATGCCTGGCACACGGCAGGCCCCTGGTAAATGCTGGCGATTATTATCATCTGAAAACGGAACAGGCTGCCTCCCCAGGAGAAGCATCTGAGGCTGGACAGTGGTGTCCCCCTGCGGGAGACTGCACAGTGCTCGTTTGCATGGGCCTAGGGATCTCTAGGTCCCCTTTTAAATGCAGACTTCATGATGATGCCTTGTTTGTATTCTGTCAAGTTTTTTAATTTTGAGCCTATGCATGGGGATCCCAAGGGCCAACCCAGATATGGTAAATGATCTGTCTCACCTTTTCACAAATGTCCCATAGCCCAGAAGCTAAAATCTGGCCTGAACTATATTCTGAACACTGCCCAGATGCATCCAAAACTCAGATTCCAGGGGCCTGATGATGACCCTTTTACTTTTGTAACTGCTCTCGGGTAACAATATCTTTTCGCCCTCTCTCTCTCTCTTTTAAAGTAATCTCTATGCCTAACGTGGGGCTGGAATTCATGACCTGAGATCAAGAGTCGCGTGTTCTCCTGACTGAGCCAGCCAGTTGCCTCACAACACCTTTTCAAACTACATGACCTAAGTGTGACCTAAAGGAATCACGGTCCCCATCTTAAAGATAAGGAAACTGAGGCTTAGGGAGGGATAAATCTTGCTCAGCATCTTGAGGATAACGAGCAGCAGAGCTGAGACTAAAGTTTAAATGGAGTGTGGCTCATATTACAATTTGTTTGAAATTAGAAAAAGTTTTAACAGCAAGGAATTGAGAAATGGGTAAATATGAGGGAGTTGGGGTTTTTTTTTTTTTTTTTTAAACATTAAATCAGGGTGCCTGGGTGGCTCAGTGGGTTAAAGCCTCTGCCTTCAGCTCAGGTTATGGCTCAGGATCCTAGGATCGAGCCCTGCATCAGGCTCTCTGCTTGGGAGCGAGCCTGCTTCCCTTCCTCTCTCTCTGCCTGCCTCTCTGCCTACTTGTGATCTCTGTCTGTCAAATAAATAACAAATAAAATCTTAAAAAAAAAAAAAGAAAAAAAAACATTAAATCAGTGTTAGCTACTTCTCACTTTAATTCTGGCAGGTTTCTGTCAAATAAATAACAAATAAAATCTTTAAAAAAAAAAGAAAAAAAAAACCAAATAAACATTAAATCAGTGTTAGCTACTTCTCACTCACTTTAATTCTGGCAGGTTTCTGACGCTAGTGGCTATATCCGATGCTTCTGGGCAAAGTTTCTCCACCAGCTCCAAAGGACCGAAGAAAGATTTATTTTGGCCAATAAAACTCTTCTTAACTAAAAGGGAAAACAAAAGTGTTACTCATAAGAGCGGGTTGCAAAATGTCCTCAGGCGCCCACAGTCTCTCTCCCAAAAGCCAAATGGACAATGCACACAGCTCTACTGCTTAACCCTGATTTAGTCCTGGGGACTCAGAGATGCCAGGTAACAAACGAGCTCTCCCCTCCTCTGGTGACAGGGTTTCTGTGATACCCTGACTATATATGCTTACTCCAAGTATTTATTGCCCATGAAATCAAACAAACAAACAAGCAAATAAATAAGTTTACACACACACATGAGATATATATATATACAGTAGAAATCCTTCCCCTTTCTCCCTCCCACCTGATGTCAACATCAATGCTGGATTTCAAATCATCACCACCATCCCTCATCTGAATTGTTGCCAATAAGCTGCTAATGGGTCTCCTTGCTCCTAAGAGGGACACGTCGTCACCCTCCTCCCCCTCACAATCTCTTCACACACATGGAAATTCTTTTAAAGGGGCGCCTGGGTAGCTCAGTTGGTTAAGTGCCGGCCTTCAGCTCAGGTCATGATCTCAGGATCCTGGGATCGAGCCCCGTGTCAGACTCCCTGCTCAGAGGGGAGCCTGTTTCTCCCTATCCCTCTGCTGTTCCTCCTAATTCTGTTCTCTGTCAAATAAATTAAATCTTAAAAAAAAAGGAAGTTCTTTTAAAAATGTTAAGTCAGGCCATGTTTTTCCCTTTGCTTAAAATCCTCCAGATACACCTACAATACAATCCATCTCCTCACGTGACCTGCAAAAGCCTACATGACCCAACCTTCTCCTGCCCCCCAATCCATTTCCCTGACCGCATCTCCTCCCACTCTCACTCTGAGCCCACTGGCATCTTCCTCAAACCAAGCCTCGTCTCACCTGGGGCTTCTGCCTACCTGTTTCTTCCCCCACCAAGGAATGCTCTTGCCCCAAATCTTGGCACAGCTAACTCTTTCTCCTTTAGGTCTCAGCTCATAGTTCACCTCCCCAGTAAGACCTCACCTCTCACTCTAGCTGAAATGCTTGCTGCTTCCTTGAATTTGTGGCATTTTGTAATTTCGTTTCTGCGTTCATCATCTGTCTGGTCCCCTAGACCTGTGCAGTCCCCTAGAGTCACTGGCTACTGTGTGCTCTTGAGCACCTGAAATGTAGCCAGTGCAACTGAGATGTGGTATAAAACACCTGGTGGGTTTTTAAGCCTTAGTAGAATAAAGAAGAATGTAAAATACCTCATCAATAAGGCTTTTAATCACTGACTATGTGTCAAAAATCATAATATTTTGGATATACTGGGGTCAACAAAATGTGTTCTAAAAATTAATTTCACCTGTTTCTTTTTACTTTTTCCTTTCTTTTTTTTATTTAACAAAGATTTTTATTTATTTATTTGACAGACAGAGATCACAAGTAGGCAGAGAGGCAGGCAGAGAGAGAGAGGAGGAAGCAGGCTCCCCGCTGAGCAGAGAGCCCGATGCGGGGCTCGATCCCAGGATCCCGAGATCATGACCTGAGCAGAAGGCAGAGGCTTAACCCACTGAGCCACCCAGGCGCCCCGTCCTTTTTTTTTTTTTTTTTTTAACGTGGCTAACAAAACACTAAAAATTGCACAAGTACCTTGCGTGGCATTTCTCCTGGCCAGTGCCGCTCTCCAGGTCGGGTCTGGCGTGCTGGGACACCCCCCCCAACCCGTCTGTTTTGCACCCCGCCGTTACCCCAGCACCTAGAACAAGGCTCAGCACTGATGAATACATGTGGAGCAAACAGCTGGCCCGAACTCCCCCGCCCCGAAGGCCCCATCAAGCTCACCTTTCAGCCCGTGTTTGAGGCAGTGCTCCATCACTACGAAGAACTGCTGCAAGGGGGCATGGTCCGCATCCAGGCTGCGGCCCAGGCTCAGGGCGGACTGCAGCAAGACTTTGACGCTGAGTTTCATCATGTGCATCAAGTTGGCACGCTCCTCCATCATCTGGCACCTGGAAGCTGTAGGGGCACAAACAGGGACAGCCTCGTCAGTGGACTGAGGGTGGTCCGGGGTGAGGAGGTTGGAAGATCCGCCTGGCGCGGGGCCAGGCGATCAGCTCCGAGCGCGGACGTGTGGCTGGACGGATAACTGGACTTCGTAGTCAACCGGCCTCTGAACCCAGGAGGTCACGGTTGCACCTGTGCAGCCTTACGCCGGTCAGTCTCGGGAGACCTCTCCCAGGCGGCTCCGCGCGTTGCCAGGGCGACGGCTCTACTAAGACTCGTCGCGATTGGCGTTTTCCACACCCAGTATTCCATTTTCGACCAATGGAAGGGGGCATACTCCAGGAATCCCCGCCCCCAAGCGTTCCTCCCCTGGACACTCCGATTGGACGGACTCAGTCACAGGCCACGCCCACGAAGCTCACGGGCGCCATTTTGCATTCTCGGCGCGGGTTGGCCCTGTCATTGAGCCTCCTTAGACGGCTCTCTGAGCTTGTTCCTTTGTCCGACGGTGTCAACCCAAGTGCCTTTGGGAAAGCCTCTGCCCCTGAGCTCCAGACTCAGATTCTCACTGCCTAGCTTTAGCCCACAGTGGGTGGGCAATACGAGTTCGACGCTTTTTTGTGGTATGTGAAACCGCTACAATCAGAACTCAGCTACGTTTCCATTTCAATTCCTATTAACGTTGTCTCGGTTTCGAGAGTAAAAAGTTTGTGGGCCGTCGGTATCAGATACCCATGACAAATGTTTGCCATGTGTCCCCCTCATGCCCAGAAAGCTGCCAGCCTAGAAATTAAAAACGCATACTCCACGCGATTAACCGCGTCCTGGCGGAAAAAACCACCCCGCGCACGACCCTCCGCACCCGCCCAACATCTAGTCTGAAACATTGGCCGGCCAGACGGTGGTGGGGGTGGGGTGGGGATCGTAGTGGCTTCATGTTTATTGTCTCCTTGGATTCTGTGAATCCTTGCTGAATGCAATGATCTGTATATTCCGTATAAATTAATATTGATACTAATCCTTTGCTTATAGCTGTTTGATTTCACGGTCATTCATTGATACGACCATAAAGATAGTTTAAAAGAGGGCACACATGAAGAGCTGAATCGAGAAGTAATGTATTATGGCTGAATTGATAATAAAGTTATTAAGTAAACATTACTGAGACCTGAGACAGCCTGGGACTAAAAATTCTAAAAAGTCTCAGACACCCACAAAGACAGCTACTGGGAAAGAAAAGTCGGTGGGAACATTTCATCAGAGGAAAATGGGTTGATTAAAGGGGTGGGGGCGGTATAATTATTTTTAAATTTAGAGAGAATCCTATATATTAAATGTATAAATTTGAAAGCATTAATGAGCGGGAGGATTGGCAAAGAAAAGAAAAATTGTAAAAGCCTTATCACGAGAGGGAGAAACCCTAAGCGGACCAATAAAGACAGATGCAATTTGCAAAGATTGACTGCTCAAGAAGCGACCACGCCCAGGTCTGCAAACCACCGCTCTGCTCCTCGGAATGCAGAGCCAGGATTATGCGAAGCCAGGATTGCGCAGCGCCCCGCAAGCCCAAATGTTTGCGGGAGATGCGTTTCCAGCCCCCGAGGTTTCACGCTCTGAAACAGGTTTCAACCAACTCTATTTTCACCTCTTTCTGTACTTTCTAAAGTTCCTTCCAGCTTATCTCTTATGTCTCCGCAAGAGTCTGCGGGCCAGGCGTCCCCTGATGGGAACCAAACTACCATATGGATTGTCCTGAGCCAGCAAGACTCCGTGTGTGACTGACTCCAAGACAAGGATGGACGCGGCCTTTACTGCCCACGGGCCTGTACCCACCGACCTCTACCCCCACATTTTCCTTACAGAAATCTAGAGTATTTTCAGCACTTTGTAGCCCACCTTTGAGATGCTACTCCCCCTCACTGCAGTAAATTCGTTTCTTGGCTCACCCCGCCAGGTGCTCTTGAATTTCTTCGGCCTGGTTACAGATTTACTCCCTATCCCACATCTTTCTCTTGATGTGCCTGATGACGGAGCAGAAGGCAAGCTGAGGACAGGACACAAGCTCATACCCTGCCCCCAGCAGGCTACCCCCCCCCACAAGCTCATACCCTGCCCCCAGCAGGCTACCCCGCCCAAAGGGGTTTGTGTGGCATTCCTCAGACACTCCTGGCTGCCCTAAAACTAAGGAAAGGGAAAAACAAATGGTTAACTGATAAAGATCACAGTCCTTGATAGGACTGGGGTCTTCGATCAGTTTACCACTGTCCTAGAGATTTACAAGGCAAAAGCATCCTGTTACTAATAGCCTAATATCCAGAGACCCAAAGACTCAATTTCCTGGAGCCCTAACATCACCCTCTCCTCCGTGGCAATGTGGGAAACAAAGGCAAAAGGGAATGTAAATATAATTAAATTTCCTCATTACCTGTAGCCCCACTGACAAACACTAGAGGCAGGCACAGTCTAATTAACTTGTCCGGGAAACTCCCAACTGTCTCAACACCAATGCTTTCCTAGTGGGAAAAGCAACCTTAGTTTGACAATAGCAAGGCCTGCAGTATCCTGAGTCGTCTTTAGCATATGGAAGTCCTTTTGGACACCTCCCTTTGTCCTTATCTCCCCCAGCTCCCACAAACGTATCAGCCACTCTGCACAGCCCCAGTGCTGCAGCTCTTTCAGCCTACCTGTCCTGTCCCATGAAAAATCACCTTTTTGCACCAAAGGCGTCTCAAGAATTCTTTCGTGGCTGTCGGCTCCAGGCCTCACCAACTACGCTACTCAAAACCACATCACACCCACTTGGGATCCAGGGAGTCCCACACAGCCAAGTGGAGATTAAGCCTCCTTTGATGATTCAAGTCACCCAAGACATGAAAGCCTTCCAACCTCTTGTTGCTTTATTGTACTTAGTTAAGAAAACCTGGTCTTGAGGGAGGGGGACGGTTTCTAGCTCTCCGCTGGCTAGCCTAAATTCAGAAAATTAAACATTTTTTTCTCCCACAGATATATAATCAATCAGCCCATCTCAATACTCCTCCCTGAGATGCACCATTAACTTGAAGGATGTGTTCCATAAATTAGATGGGCTCTAATAAATTATAGCTTCATGTTTTTTAAGGAAATGGATTTGAAGTACACATAAACTAAATCCTTTTGTCAAAAAATACTGCGTTGGCAAAGGTATAATGAAATAAGCAACACTCACGTGTCGCCAACTGTTCTGAGTGTTCTGGGTTAAACAGGGTAGCTACTGAAGGAATTACAAGTATAATTTCCATTTGATAAGTCTCGGTAAAGGCTTTTTGGGGGGAACATTTTAAGGCTGGGAAATTTAATATGATTGGGTAGCATCTTTTTGAAAGTCAGGTGATTTTCATTTGTTTTAAACAAAAATAAAGGAACAAAAAATAATTTTTGACAACAGATCAATGTGACTTGGGGCATATAACTTGGAAGGGATTCAAAAGCTTGACAACGTTACTAAAACAAAACTATCCATTTCTATTTCCTGTTTATATGAACCAGGATTCTCAGGGCTCACATCTATTAAAAAAAAAAAAAAACACCAAAAAAATGGGAATAAAATTGATGCTGAGTCCCATCATATTTTATCTGTAAATCATATATGTTCATCTCTGGATATATGCTAATGAAAAAATCAAAGAAGCCCATTAAGAGAAACAATAACAAGAAAAGTTTATAGTATTTATGTATAAAAGTTATATCCTTATGTCAACTTTGTATTTCTTATTTTAATGATAATTCATTCCACAAGAAAAATATTTTATAAAGTAGAGCTTTAGTTACAAAAAATGTTTATTGAATTTTACTTTTTTTTCCCTAAGAGGTATGACAGAATGATAAATAAAATTTTTTTAAATAATAAAAAATTTTAAAACATACAGAAGTGGAATAGAAATTCAAGTTCAAGGAGTAAAAGGGAAAATGTACAGTTTTCAGGGGCGCCTGGCTGGCTCAGTTGGTAGAGCACGTGACTGAATCTTGGGCTTGGTTTGAGTCACATGCTGGGTGTAGAGATTACTCAAAAGAAAAATCTTAAAAAAAAAAAAAAAGTAAAGTTTTCAGGGGCACCTGGCTGGCTCAGTGGGTTAAAGCCTCTGCCTTCGGCTCAAGGTCATGATCCCAGGGTCCTGGGATGGAGCTCCGCATGGAGCCCCGCAACGGGCTCTCTGCTAGGCGGGGAGCCTGCTTCTCTTCCTCTCTCTCTCTGCCTGCCTCTCTGCGTACTTGTGATCTCTGTCAAATAAATAAAATCTTAAAAAAAAGGTAAAGTTTTCAAATAACTTATTTATATTTAAGATGGATGGTAGTACTTATCAAATCATTTAGGTATTTACATACCACTTAAAGAATGATGTAATGCTTTTATTTTAAAAAGCTAATATTTACAGTATACCAGAAAACAAACTTTAAAATTATGAATTAATTAATCTTAAAAGATTAAAATTAATTAATCTTAAAAGCTGATGACTTCTTGTAAGGGGTCATGTGAGCAACAAACATGAAGACTAGTGTTTCAGGTCACCAGAGGTAGGTGGCAGTGGCTTCTGTTGATGTAGGAAAGACGTTGGGGTTCAGAGCCAATGGCCAGGAAAGAATTCCTGATCCATCTTTGATGCAAAATGGTGGTTTTATTAAAACATGGGAACAGGACCCATGGGCACTGGGGTTATCTACACTTTTAAGTTGGGAGGGGATTAGGGATAGTGTAAGTTTGTAAGGAATTTCAGAAGCAAGGTTTCCGGGACCTTGAGTGGGCTAGCTGTTTTTGGGAAAAGGTCATTTATTACCATCTAATAAAACCTTAGTCATGAGACTTTTCAGATGTATATCATGGGCTATATGCTTGGGGGGATGATTGCCAACACATATCTTGGGTGGGGCTGGGGAGCGGGTAGAGATAAACAAAGCTTCCAAAGGAATTTTTATATTTTAAAGTAGACTTACAGGACATGGGGTTGGGTTAAGACTGTCTTTTGGGGCACCTGGGTGGCTCAGTGGGTTAAGCCTCTGCCTTCAGCTCAGGTCACGATCTTAGGGTCCTGGGATCGAGCCCCGCATCGGGCTCTCTGCACAGCAGGGAGCCTGCTTCCCCCTCTCTCTCTGCCTGCTTCTCTGCCTACTTGTGATCTCTCTCTCTGTTGAATAAATCAATAAAATCTTTAAAAAAAAAAAAAAAAAAAAAAGACTGTCTTTTGTCCTTAGCCAGAGTATCAACATTGAGACAGCAGAGTTCCTAGAAGAACGTCACTGGGCCTGTTTCAAGGACTTGTCTATGGGCTTCAGGTAGTAAGGAAATTTGATTTTTCTTTTGCCTTTGTTCCCCACATCACTATCACCGTTCCTGGGTACATGGCTGTGTTCTGCAGTCATCCCACCCATCCCTCTGCTCCATGACTCACCTGTTCCCATCCATGCTCAATTTAGAGAGCCACGGAATGGATCTTCGAGCCATTCCATCTCTCAAGTTTACTGGCTTTGTGACTTTGGCCAAGCTATTCACCTCTCTAAGCTTCATTAATAATAGTTCAGCACGGGGCGCCTGGGTGGCATAGTCGTTAAGCGTCTGCCTTCAGCTCAGGTCAAGATCCCGGGGTCGTGGGATCGAGTCCTGCATTAGGCTCCCTGCTCAGCGGGGAACCTGCTTCTCCCTCTCCTCCCCACTTGCGCTCTCTCTCACATCTCTCTCTCAAATAAACAAGATCTTAAAAAAAAATAATAGCCCAGCACATCAGCACACACAGAGGACATCAAGTTCTATACTACCTAAATTGCCAAACAAATGGTCTGTTCAGGGATTTCAATCTTGACTGCTATGCAGGGGCCAGGCCTGGAACAGAAATGAGGGCTATTGTGGGAGGACGAGCTGGAGGGGACCGGGGCCCCATGAATATCCAGGGAGCAACCCCACTGAGTACCACACTCTGGTGAGAGGAATGCGGGTCAACAGTGTCAGGCGCAGAGTTTTCAGAAGCTGGACGTCTGGATTTCTATGTAAAGCCTGCTCACTAGCTAAAAAAAAAAATTGCTTTATTTTTTAGGTTATTTTTTAAAAAGGTTTTATTTATTTGTCAGAAAGAGACAGAGTATGTATGCATGGGCAAGAGGAGCAGCAGGCAGAGGGAGAAGCAGGCTCTCCGCTGAGCAGGGAGCCTGATGCGGGACTCGATCCCAGGACGCTGGGATCATGACCTAAGCCAAAAGCAGACGCTTAACCATCTGAACTGCCCAGGTGTCCCAAAATTTGCTTTAATGCTTTTATACTGTGCAGCATCTAAAATGCAACGACCAGGAGCACCTGGGTGGCTCAGTTGATTGACCGGCTGCCTTCCGCTCAGGTCATGATCCTGGAACCCGGTATTGAGTCCCGAGTTGGGCTCCCGGCTCCACAGGGAGTCTGCTTCTTCCTCTGACCTTCTCCCCTCTCATGCTCGCTCACTCTCTCTCTCTCTCTCTCAAATAAATTAATAAAATCTTAAAAAAAAGAAAATTACATAAAATGCAATGACCAGACACAAGCAGCTCACAGCTTGTTGTCACCTCTATATATAGAGGTATAGAGAGTGAGTACACAGGATGGGGAGTGGGCCGTAGGGTTTTTTGTTGTTGTTGTTGGGTTCTTATTTACAGAGGAGTAAGGAGATTCTTGATAAATCTGAGTTTTAGTTTTGAGTAGCCCTTTGGTGTCTTGAAGGATCTTACAATACGATATTCCCCTCTGTGGACAAGGAGGAAAATTTTAACACTCTCCTGTCAGGAATTTTCACTTAGCATCTCAGGGGCTAATGTGAGTTCAGCAACATAACTGGGAAAACATTACTGTGGTTCATTGTGAAACGAGCTGCACCGGCTGTGGAGGGCCACTTGGACACATGGAGAATTAAGTTTCCCATGGAAGAAGAACAGAGAAAGGCGTAACACATACCCCCTATCCGATGGGAAGGAAATATATATCTGAATATCTAAAATGGGAGAATGCTCTTGGGACGCCTGGGTGGCTCAGTCCTTAAGCCTCTGCCTCCAGCTCAGGTCTTGATCCTCCTGGGATCAAGCCCCGCATCGGGCTCCCTTCTCGGTGGGAAGCTCGCTTCTTGCTCTCCCAATCCCCTTGCTCGTGTTCCCTCTCTCAGTGTATCTCTATCAAATAAATAAAATCTTAAAACAAAACAAAAACCAATGAAGATAACAAGGATAAAGTGTGGAGCACCTCTGAGTACCCAGGTGACCACCTGGATCAAAGCCTGCACTGATGCACAGCAGGAAGCCAGTCCTGCTACCACCCAGGGTTATTCTGAAGGTTAAATGAATTAACGCAGAATTCATTAAGACTAATGAATTAAGTCTAAGACTTAGACTTATAAGTCTTATAAGTCTGGCATGGCATTTTTCAGTGAACAGCTAACATTATTTGCTTGCTACACAATCTCAGAGGCCTCTACTTCACCCTATGCCTTGACTTTCAGGACTTGCCGCCAATGGCTGGTTTGCAATCAAACACCCACAGGTGTGTGCAAAGGCAGTGAACCAGTGGGAACTAGAATCCTGTGTGAACAGGCTGCCTCATTACCTGCTAGTCCTACTTGTCACTGCCAAAATCTCAAAACAAGTCCGTGTGTAAACCTTTCTCCACTTGCTACTCCATCTTCACCACCGAAATTCTCACAATTCACAATGCTGCGTCTGTGAGGACTTCTAGGCAGCAAAGACACCGGTGAGTAGGAGGGAATCAAGAAACTTCAAAGACACATTATGGTTCTTAGCACTACAGTCTTCCATCACCTCTGCCCCACAGCACTCTATGAAGACAGAACTGAATTTTTCATTTTTTTTTTAAGACGTTATTTATTTGACAGAGAGACTCCGAGAGAGGGAATACAAGGAGGAGAAGTGGGAGAGGGAGAAGGAGGCTTCCCGCGGAGCAGGGAGTCTGAGGCAGGGCTGGATCCCAGGAGACTGGGATCATGACCTGAGCCCAAAGGCAGGCAGAAGATTAAGGACTGAGCCACCCAGGCGCCCCGGAATTTTAAATTTTAACATTTGAACATCACATGCGTGTCGTGGCTACTCTATTGGTGAGCACAGCTCTCAATATCAGGCTTTACAGGGCTTTCCAAGTCACACTCTTAATATCATCATTTAGTATTTCCATTATTTCCATTCTTCTAACATGCTGAAACTCTATTCCGGGTAACAAGGTCTGGAAAGAACTGTAAGAGCTCACGGGTGAATCAAAAAACTACTGCACAGCCTGAGAAACGCGGTGACTGGCGCGCCTCACCCAAAAGACTTGGCGGCTCCGCTCGCCTGGAACCACCGCCTCCTGACTTCCACCTCGGAGCTTGCACTCCTGGGTGGGCAGGGGCAGCCGAGGCGCGAGCCGACCTGGCATCCGGAGATTCGCGGCAGACAGCGGAATTGCATTCAGTTCTTGAGAACTTTTAAACTCGTACCTTTACTTCAAGTCCCCCACCGGGAGTCAGGACGTTGTCTGGGGCACCCAATTACAAGGGTCTGCTAGGGGAGCCGCCCCAATCTCAGCCCGTGCAAACCTGCGCATTTATCCTGACTCGGCTTGCACGGCAGGACGAAAAGCACACGAGTACGGACGCGTGCTAACAGGTTGGTTCTGAACAACTCGTCTGACAGGCTGCGGAGGTTCGACGCCCTCGCCAGCCGGGCCCCCACCGCCAAACGGCCACCTGTCTCGCGGGTGCGCGCGGGGCGTGCCCGGCCGCAGCCTACCTGCACGCGCCGTCCCGTCCGTGCCGCTGTCCGCGCCGCCCAGCCCCGCGGCCGCGCGCAGCGCGCTCCCGCAACTCGCCGACAGGTTGCCGGTGGCCTTTCGCGCCAGGGTCAGGATGGGCGCCGACCAGCCCTCCGGCCCGGTCCGCGGCTTGGCCGCGCTGCGCAGTTCGCCAGGGCTAGGCACCTGGCTCCGGTCCACGATCTCGAACTCTTCTCCCGGCTCCGGTCCCGGCTCCCGCCCCACCGGGCAGCCGTCTTCCCCGTCGGCCATGTTGGCCGCGTCACGTGGCTGCGACGGGCGGAGGACTCGGCGCGGGCGGGCGCGCGGGTGGGCGGTGGGTTCGGCGCGGGCGGGCATAGATTTTTTTTTTTTTTTTCCCTGTTCGCGAAGTCCTCCCTTCCTCTCACCACTTTATCCCCTCCTTTCTTTAGCCTCCAAAAGGTTCAGGAAAGTCATAACAACAAATCATAGCATAAGACACACTCATATTCCCACCAGTAGGGAAGACTTATGTCCAGAAAATTACTCTTGCCCCCGCCCCCCACCGGGGTTGCCCTCAGCCTGGCTTGGAACACAGCCCCCTCCGCTTTAGTTTTGTCGTGACTCAATTTCCTCTTTCTGATTTTCATTTCATGATGTACTTTTTCTACTTCGCCACTTTCCGGCAGCGCGCTTCAGAGCAAGCCCTAGAAGGGCGGCTGAGGGAACTGAGACAGGCGAGGCAGAAATCAGGATTTAAAAAAATAATTTAATTTATTTTAATTAATTTACTTTTTACTTAAAGATTTTATTTATTTATTTGACAGACAGAGGTCACAAGTTGGCAGAGCAGCAGGCAGAGAGAGGTGGGGGGGGGGAAGCAGACTCCCTGCTGAGCAGAGAGCCTGATGTGGGGCTTGATCCCAGGACCCTGAGATCATGACCTGAGCCCAAGGCAGAGGCTTAACCCATGGGGCCACCCAGGCGCCCCAGGAGTTTTTTTTTATTAAAACAAAAAACAAAAAACCCTACAGACATGACAGGTTGGCAGGACTGGGAATCAGAAGTTCCGGATTCTATAAATTAGTTAAATGGGGATGATAAGGGAGCCTACTGCATGAGGAAGTTAGATTTTGCAGGACGGAGCGCATGGCAGACGTTAGCAACGTGAGGACTGTTACTGCCACGGGTCGTTTCCACCCAGCACGGTCCACTTTGCAGGCAAGCACGGCCCCTCTGTTTCCTCACTTGGAAAAGAATGGAATCTGACTAAATGGAAGCTCACATTTCATTTGCATTCAACACTTCCATTGCAAAGTGCCACCAGGGTCCTCATCGAACTAGGAGAACTGTTGTGTTTGGCTCCCACAGCGTTTAAATATTAAAAAAAAAAAAAAAAAAGTTGTTGCAGATATTTAGAAATCGGAAGATTTGGCATGAAAATATAGATTTTTAGCCCTCTTCAAAGAGTGGAAGCTTTGACAACTCAGAGTCTGTTCCGTGGTGTCAACAAATTGGTGAAGTGGGCAATGGCGGTCCCTTTAGAAGCTCGCTCTAAAAGCTGTCTCCACTCCACTCGATGTTTATGAACCGTCTGTCCTTGAAGGCCAGTTGTTTTCTATGGGGAGAGTGGAGTGCAGAGGTAGTAGGGGAACTGTGGGATGGTGTTTGAGCTGTCACCATGATGGAGGGGTTTGTTGCCAGTCTCTACTGAAATGCGGTGAGCAGGGGAGTTAGATTCCGTGAAATTACCAAGCAGCAGATCCAGATCTTTCATGACTTTTCAGTGCCAGTGGACATTCTTGTAGGTGAAGAGCTCATTTGTAATGGCCAGAGCCTGGATCATATTCCACTTTGCATAGAAACATAAACTCCTTTTAGAAAAATAGTTTTTTAAAAAAACTATATTTGAGAGAGAGAGAGAGAGAGCACAAACAGGGAAGGGGCAGAGGGAGAGGGAAAAGTAGGCTCCCTGCTGAGCAGGGAGCGCGAGGTGGGGCTCTATCTATCCTAAGACCCCAGGATCATGACCTGAGCCAAATGCAGACACTGACCCGACTGAGCCACCCAGGTGCCCCAGAAAAATAGTTTTAACATGATATCAGACTAGGTTTTGCTGCAGTAACAAAGAACCCCCCCAAATCTCAGTGGTTTAATTTATTGGAAGTTTGCTTCTCATCATCCTCCTCTTGGGGACCCAGGCCATCGCAGGTTCTATCATTTGGAGCAGAATTTTGCATCACCACTAAGTGCCACAACCCTGATGTGATGATGTTCACTTATATACATTTCTTTCTTTCTTTCTTTTTAAATATTGTATTTATTTATTTGTCAGAGAGAGAGAGAGAACACAAGCAGTGGGAGCAGCAGGCAGAGGAGGAAGCAGGCTCCCTGCTGAGCAAAAAGCCTGATGTGGGACTCAATCCCAGGAGCTGGAGATCATGACCTGAGCAAAAGGCAGATGTTTAACCGAATGAGCCATCCAGGCATCCCCACTTATGTACTTTTCACTGGCCAAAGCAAGTACCTGCTCCTTTAATTTTGAGAGAGTTCAAAAGTTCAATCCTACCAGTGTCTGGAAAGGAGAGCAGGGAATACTGGTGAGCAAAATGACTACCGTAAATGTACTCTGACCTTTCCAGAATGCAGTGACAATGATTTGTTCAGAACTGAAGAGCTGTTCTCCATTTCAGAAGATCACATTGCCTACAACATTGTTGCTTTAGGTATTAAGACAATACCTGTGCTATTTGTCACAGTCATAGGGATTTTAGGTACAAGTGTCTGGCTACCTTATTTCTTTTAGTGTTAGTGGTGACTTATTTACATATTGAAATGCATTTTAGAGACTTATTTCTCCTTTATATGATAGTTAATTTTTTGAACTTTTGGGTGTCGGTAGGTTTATTATCTATGAACAGCTTTCATAGTAGACAGGGGGGCATTATAAAATATGTATTCTCTAAAAGGTGTGATGGGCCTAATTGGGTAGGCGACTGAGTTTGCATGTAACTATGTCAAGTCTAGCAACAGACATGACAGTTCCTAATTCTTTCCAATTTTACTGTAAATAAAGTCAACTTTGGAGAAAACTTGGTAAGAGAGATCTGTGATTTGGAGCACTCATGGTGAGGAGAATGTGTATGCTTATTTTCTGTACAAATAGTAAAATTTAAAAGACACCTTACCGTGTTTGTCATTTTCTATAACTTTTCATGTGCTCGAAATATGCTATAATAATTAGAAAGTCCCACCCCCAAATATGTAGCCCAACCCTCCCTCCCCTTGTTCTCCCCTACTCCCCCACATCCTCGCTATCCTTCTCTCCAATCTTCTTCGGACCCGTTTTTCTTTTCCCTTTTAAAGATTTCATTTATTCATTTGACAGAGAGAAAGAGAGAGATCATGAGCAGGGGGAGTGGCAGGCAGAGGGAGAAGCAGGCTCCCCAGTGAGCAGGGAGCTCAGTGTGGGGCTCCATCTCAGAACCCTGGGATCATGACCTGAGCCGAAAGCAGATGCTTAACCGACTGAGCCACCCAGGCACCCCCGGACCCGTTTTTCTTTTATTTTCTTCTTCTTTTTTTTTAATGTCATTAAAAAAAAAAAGATTTTATTTATTTATTTGACAGAGAGAGATCACAAGTAGGCAGAGAGGCAGGCAGAGAGAGAGAGAGAGAGAGAGGGGAAGCAGGCTCCCTGCTGAGCAGAGAGCCCAATGCGGGGCTTGATCCCAGGACCCTGACACCATGACCTGAGCTGAAGGCAGAGGCTTTAAGCCACCGAGCCACCCAGGCGCCCCTGGACCTGCTTTTCTATGCCTTGAGTTTCACCGGCTTTGCTGCTTCCTCCTGAGTGTGATTCTACCCTCTGCCCATTGCCTGCCGCATTCTCCTTTCTAATCATCCAAAGGTTGCTCACTACATTTCTCAGACTCGGTCTCTGACTTCTGGCCCTGCCCTTTGCCCTATTGCCGCCCCTGCCTGCGTGGCCTCTCGCCTCATTTTGCAGATACTCTCCAAGACAGCTTGTGTCTTGGTACTTTCCTTCCTCCCTTCTGTTCTAGACACCTTAGCCTGAGGACTTCCAAAGACCGGATGCTGATCCGTTCATCTTCCTGCTTGTGGCTCTCTCCTTGCTTCCCGTTGCAGGAGACTTTGTCTCATCTGCACGCCGTACTTGCCGATGGCTCATTCTCTCCTTGATGTGCACTTTAAACTGAGTTAGGCAGCATCCCAGATGGGGTGACTTGCCTGATCCCTGAACAGTATCCAGAGAGGTGGAATCTCTCTGGTTTCGTTGGTTTTATGTGTTGGCCCAACAGCTGAGAGCCCCTGTATCTCCCATACACATTTTTCACACTTTGGCATTTCAGAATCTTCAGTATCTGGACATAGTTGGTACTCTGCTGCCAGGAATGGCCAGTTAAAGCCAAATCACTTGGGATACCAGGGTGGCTCAGTCAGTTAAGCATCTGCCTTGGGCTCAGGTCATGATCTCAGGGTCCTGGGATCGAGCCCCGCATTGGACTCCCTGCTCAGTGGGAACCTGTTTCTCCCTCTCTCTCTGCCCGCCGCTCCCCCTGCTTGTGCTCTCTCTCTCTCCTTCTCTGACAAATAAATACATAAAATCTTAAAAAAAATAATAAAGCCAGATCACTCTTCTGAATGATGAGACATGAAGCACACAACATTCTGTAAGGTTGCACCTCCTAAACTTTTTTTTTTTTTTTGCATACTGACCCACCTAGAACATGATAAAGATTACTGTGTTACACAGCATTCTGAATGGACAGAAGTAACACTTGGGGAACTTGGCTTCCTCAGACTTTACTAGGTCACCCCAGGGCCAAGAGCATCAGTATCTCTGCACAGCTAATAGTCCAGTAGCCTCACTAGTCAAGAAACTCTGCTCTGGTTTAAGGGAAGTTGAAACCCGCTTGCTTCCCAGGCAGGAACATCCTGAATGCTTTTAAATTTCTGCCAAAGACTGGAACAACCAAGTAACAAATATCAATGTTTGGCTCCACCTTGTGGTCTAAAGTGGACTTGCGTTTCTAACCGTCCAGGATTGGACAATTTCCTTCCCTCCATCCATCCTCCCATCCATCCGTATCCCTTCATATCCATTCTCTCACCCATATAGCCATCACAGCCTACAAGGCCCTGTGTGATATGACCCCTGCCAATCTTTCTGACCCTATGTCATATCATCATCTGCAGATTTCTTTCTTTCTTTAAAGATTTTTTAAAATTTATTTGACAAAGAGAGAGCACACAAGCAGGGGGAGTGGCCGGCAGAG